GGTGTGTACATGGTCTGCAACAATCTCTAGGTAGGTGGTATGTTTTAAAGTAGCATACATATAAATGTTAGGACACAAGGTTTTCCATCAGAATTTTGCCCAGAACATAACACTGCCTTCCCCAGCCTGCCTTCTTCCAATAATGAATCCTGCTGCCATCTCTTCCCCAGGTAAACAATGCACCCAGCCATCCACCTACTCTAAATGAAAACAAGATTCATCAGACCAGGTAACCTCCTTTCTTTGCTCCATGGTCCAGTTATGATGCTCACATCCCCATTTAAGGCACTTGTGACAGTGGGTAGGGGTCATCATGGAAACTCTGACCAGTTTGCGGTTACATAGCCCCAGCAAACTGTGATGCACTGTGTGTCCTGACACCTATCATGGCCAGCATTATGTTTTTTAGCAATTTCTGTGTGATTGAAGCAGACAGACTAGCCTTCACTTTCCACGTGCATCAATAAACGTTGGGTGCTTATGACCCTGATGCTTCTCCAATAACACAACACACAGCCCTTAACCCCTTAAGGACCAAACTTCTGGAATAAAAGGGAATCATGACATGTCACACATGTCATGTGTCCTTAAGAGGTTAAACAAACACAAAGCCTCCACACACACAACACAACATTTCTATATAATGCACATGTAGAAGTAGAAGCCTCCAACACCAATGCATTTATCATACATGCATGCAATACCCCTGCACACAACTTTTATCACATGCAGATAATTGGAGAGAGTGAAGGAAATACCAGTTAGGATATATGAAGGGCTGAAAGGCAGCAAAGTGGATTTTTGTGTATGAGAGTAAAAAACAGGGTACTTCTTCTGAAAAGGTTGAGAATTACTGCCCTAAGGTACATTTAAATGATGCTGTACATAGTGTAGGACAAAGGTGCCTAAAAGGTAGATCCCAAGATGTTTTAAAACAAAACTACAGCTTCCATGATGCTTTGTCATTCTAAAGGCATTCTAAAAGCTTGCAATCATGGGAGTTGTAGTTCTACAACATCTGGGGCCCTACCATTTGGGCACCCCTGGTGTAGGATATATATTTTAGAATGGAACATGTACATTAACATATAGAATGTTACATGAAAAACCTATCTTACAATTTCTAATGGATAGGATCGAAAGTATAAAAAACTATGTACAAGCTGAGATAGGTCACTAGAAATGCAATAATAATCATTACAAAAGGCCTATATTTGTTTTCTGTGTTATATAGAAGGTAAGTCATATTTCAACATCTAAGTTTTATATAAACTGTGTTTTTATTTAGTTAAGAGTAATAAAACAAATGTGTTAAGATATTATTTGAATTTGCATTAAATTTAAGGATGTGTTCGACCAGCCTGGCATACAATTTAAATTGCAAATGTCCCAGGAGTCACTTCATTAAGCTTGAAATTTTCCATATGCATGTAGGGAATCTTGGGAAACTGGGAAACTTACTCCCAGCATGCATTTGCATTGCATACTTGAAACATAGAGATGCTGAGATACAGTGTCATTGCATACCTTGCCACAGTAAGCATATTAAAAGTATTTCTCAAATAACTGAATGATAAGTGAAAGTGTGAAACAGCGTAATGCTATAAGGTCTTTTGTGTATGTGCTGATCTGTTCCTCTGCAATATTCCAGCTCAGCATATAAAGACCACGAGAACTGTGTACTGCAGAAATGCTTGTGGTCAGCAAATCACTATGTCTACAAAAAAAAAATCTCCCCACTTCTAAAAGACAAAAGAAGTCTAGATGGAGTACTCACGAAATGGGTAAAAAGTTCACACAGTTTAGAAAATTTCTGGTTTTGATTACTTTTTTTTGTTTTTCTTACAATACATATATTTTTTTATTTTTTTTCATGACTTCGTAGGACCTTCCCTAACCTCAGCAGCTGAAACACCGGCTGATTCAGTGAGACAGGAAACCTTGCTTTTTCCATAAATCTAACAATGCCTCGTAAAACTATCAGATCACAGATTCCAGCAGAATGTCTTCTAAAACCAGAAGAAAGGAACGAAGGCTGACCGAACGGGCACAGAGCACGGCATACTTAAATCAAAGAGAACTTAGCACAATTAAATTCTGTTATTAAGAATTAGCAGCTGGGCATGTTTTGATTGATAGTTCATAAAATGACCCGAATTTATTTTTTCTCAAATGCCAAGAATAACTAGACTTTTGATGCACAAAGAGATTGATGAGTCTATAAAATTATTGTATTCTTGATATATTTTTAACTTTTTCTCATGATAAAACAGCAGTAGCTGTATGGGTCTACACATGAATTATTTTGGATTTCACTGTGAAATTCAAGGCCTTTCTTGAATTACACTTATGAAGCTGTTGCATATATCCTAAGTCAAGGACATGCAAACTGTTGACTTTGTGTGGACTGTAATGAAACACTTTGTGAATGAAACTGCAAACAATATATGGGAGCTAGAGAATCTGTTTGTCACGATTCTCACCGCGACATCCCGACGGCCAGACGAGGTCGCCCCAGAAGTGCCCGGTGACGGACTTGAACCAGGGTACTTTGCAGTCCTGGGGCTGCTATTTTGCCTCTGAGCCACCATATCAGCTCAAGAGATAGCCAGAAGTCTATATTGCCTTGTACCCAGCACTGGGGGCTGGACGTTATTCTGTGGCTGCTCCAACGATCTCAGCACACCTGTGGCTGATCACCAATTAGCCAGGTATAAGACACTGCCTCTCCCTGAGGGCAGTGTCAGTTCATTGACTCTGGTTCCCTTGTTTGGTTCCTGTTACTCTGTACCTGCGTTCCAGTGATTACTGTCTAATTCCGGCTTCTGACCTTGGCTTTCCTCCTGGACTACTCTGACCTCTGGCTTCCCTGATTTTGGCTTCCCTTGACCACGCTTCTGCTAATCCCTGCTGTACTGAGACTTGGCGCACTTTTCCTGGAAAGCCCCCGTGCACAGACTCACAGATCAGGTGGCGTCTTACCTGGTCACCCTGGTCTGTGTCTACTTTGCAAGGGTGAGCGTATAACTCTGCGAGCCGGACTCCCCATCAGGTAAGATCCTGACATAATGAACTGACCATATGGAGTCTGCAGAGTTATACAAATTACTCACCTCCCTGGCTGAACAAGTCTCCAACCTGTCCCAGAATGTTATGGATTTGCAGAGATGTTCATTGGCATTTAAAGGAGCAGTACATCCAATCCCGGAACATACATACCCGGAACCCTATGTCATTATGCCTGACAGGTTTGACGGTTCCCGTTCTGCTTTCCCGATGTTCAAGAAGGATTGTGAGCTACTGTTTGCCCTGAAACCTAGAACCTACGCCACCGACCTTATCAGAGTCCGCTCCGCTATTAACCTGTGTACTGGGCGGATTAAGGCGTGGGCACACCAGAAGCTGCAGGAGAGAAGTACTGTCTTGGACTCCTGGGAGTTGTTCATGTCCGCAATGGACTCTCAGTGCTTTGCATCAAGGAAAGCAACTCCCAAGCCTACTTCAGGTTCTCGCAGAACCCGGTTGCCTAGAGAAGAGGAATTATTTTATGAATACAAGAATCCCATCTCGCTACAGTCTAAACCTACCTCCAAGGACCTGCCTTGTCATCATAATGTTACCCATGTGGAACTTGGCACTCTAGAGGACAAGGAGGAACCCATGGAGATTGGCTTCATCCGCACAAGAACAAGACTGCCATCTAGTGAAAGAGACCGAAGGAGGGCTTGTTGTCTCTGTTTCTATTGTGGAGAAGGAGGGCACTTTATCTCCCACTGCCCTATTCGCCCAACTCGGCCTAAGCCTCTTCAAGTAGATACTACTCACCTTCATCCTGTTATCCCGGCAACACAGCCAGAAAAATGTCAAGGATACTGTCAGAAGTTTCCACGTTCCGTGACGCAGAAGAGTACCCAGACTACGATGGCTACTGATGCTAGTGTCTCTCAAGAACACATAATCGGTGATCATGAGAATTCACTACCTCCAGAAGACTCTCCTGTTAAAACTGGTACCATCACCACTTCCTGCCTGCCCAAAGGAGAACTACCTGTGGATTGCACCTATGGTAACAAGGTCCACAGAACAGATCTGGAAATGTTTGAAAGGGCTTTGAAAGCCGTGAGCTCTGCTCCTGGTGACTCACCTAAGAAAAAAAGCTCAGAGAAACTGACTCCTGGGATCAAGGTACTTACCGCCTGCACCAAATCCATGAATAACCTTGACCTCTTCCCATTAGCACCCGAAACTGGTACCATAAAGTCCCAGTCTGTAGACTTTGATTACAAAGACTATCTTAGTGATCCTGAGACCGAAGATGAGGAGTACTATTTCCGAGAAGAACCTGTTCACGCCCGGAGGGCGTTCTTGAAGGGAGGGTACTGTCACGATTCTCACCGCGACATCCCGACGGCCAGACGAGGTCGCCCCAGAAGTGCCCGGTGACGGACTTGAACCAGGGTACTTTGCAGTCCTGGGGCTGCTATTTTGCCTCTGAGCCACCATATCAGCTCAAGAGATAGCCAGAAGTCTATATTGCCTTGTACCCAGCACTGGGGGCTGGACGTTATTCTGTGGCTGCTCCAACGATCTCAGCACACCTGTGGCTGATCACCAATTAGCCAGGTATAAGACACTGCCTCTCCCTGAGGGCAGTGTCAGTTCATTGACTCGGTTCCCTTGTTTGGTTCCTGTTACTCTGTACCTGCGTTCCAGTGATTACTGTCTAATTCCGGCTTCTGACCTTGGCTTTCCTCCTGGACTACTCTGACCTCTGGCTTCCCTGATTTTGGCTTCCCTTGACCACGCTTCTGCTAATCCCTGCTGTACTGAGACTTGGCACACTTTTCCTGGAAAGCCCCCGTGCACAGACTCACAGATCAGGTGGCGTCTTACCTGGTCACCCTGGTCTGTGTCTACTTTGCAAGGGTGAGCGTATAACTCTGCGAGCCGGACTCCCCATCAGGTAAGATCCTGACACTGTTGCACATTAGTTATCACTACTTATCTCATCCTCCAAGCCAAGCTACGGGAAAGGTCAGAAGCTGCCCTACTCACTTTTATGTTTATGTTTTGTATGGAAGAAAAACAAGGGGAGCGAAGAGAAAAAGGAAAATAACTAAGCAAAGATGGGAAAAAGTAAGGAAGGAAACAAGGGAAATAAATAAAAAAGGGAAGGGAAGGGAAGAGAAAGACGGTACAAGGGAATGGAAAGGAACAAGGGAAGAGACGGGAAGGGGAAGTAAATGAGGGAACAAGGCAAGGGAAGTGAATGTAAGAAAGAAAACCGGGAGAGACTTCTAACTCTCTTCTTATATTTTTCTTTATTTTATTTCTCAAAATACTCATAGTGAACCTTCAATACGGTTCAGCAAACCAGATTTACCATTAAATTACTGTCATATTTCTTGCGTCAATGCACCAGCCGCATACCAAACTACCGTAGCTGAACTTTTAATGAACCCATATATTTTGAAACTCTTACCTATAAAATATCTCACAGAAAGAAAGCCACATTTTTTCCACCTATTCCTGGATCTTCAAGATACTGATTGATGATTGGAAGATGATCCAACTAATTTATTTTACCATTGTTACCTCATTATTATTTATTTACTATAATAATGTTACCGATGTTTACCTATAGTTTACTACTGTAATTAATGTTATTAATATTTTGACTGACAAAATTTGGTTGGAAAATACTTCAATTATATACAAAAATGTCTTCTTTGCTCTCACCCTCATCTCTTATATACCTTGCTTTTCCTAGCTATCTCTTCTCCTTAGGTCTAATTCTACAAAGCAGCTAACAGAATGAAAGAAACATAATTTCCACTAAGCAATGACCCTCCCATCCATTACCCCCTCCAGGCTACACACTAAACCTAAATGTCATCAGATGACATCCTGGATGTGGAAGAACAATATGATGTCACCAACACAAAAACCAAAGGACGCCATTGGCAGTCTTCCAGCAAAATCAGAAAATGTATGGACATTCCCAGCTAACACGTCATAAACATTGGCATGACAATACAAGTTAACAAAACACACATGCAGCAACTACCTAGTAAAACATAAACAATCAGAAACCACAGAACTAATCAAACCCTTCAGCCTGCAAACCCCTCAATGCCATCCTGAACCTCAAGGAGCACACTAGACAACAAAGCCTATGAGCCAACCCTCACCATAACGTCAGTCAGTACAACAAGCAAATGATAATTACAGCCCTCTGAAGCCCTCAAATGCAGGCTAACCCACAAGTATGCTACTCTGTGCCTTACGCACAATCCTGCCATGTATGCACACCCACTAACAAGACACCAAAATTATGAAGCTCAATGCAGCTAAAAGTATCTCTCAACCTACCCAGACAACTAAAACTAGTCTAAAGTATTACAGTTATTAAGTCATATCTGTTCCATCTGAACCATATCTGTTCCATCTGAACAGTGCAATAATTTTGCAGAAATTGCATAAACTGTACAAAATAAGTTCTCAATCCAATATCTATATATATATTATTTTTAATGTTGATAAAAAATAAATACATTACAAGGTAATTGTTTGTTGTCTTGGTGAGCTCGGTATGTAATCTACTCCTCCAGAATGAACATGTGGCAACAAAATGACTGGATCCCATATGGGGTACACCATAATAAAGTAGGATCAAACCAAGTGTAGTAAAGTGGAAATATTTGTATTCATCTATTGTAGAAATAAAGCTTTAGGCAACAAGGACAGTCAGGGGAGGGAGGGGAACGTGATTCCGTCTAAAATGTTTATTGCAGAAAAACACATTGACATGTTTTGTGCTGCAAAGCACACATCAGAGGGGAAATTATGAGGTAAAAATTACCAGCTATTTTTTTTTTTTTATATATATATGAGAACGTTAATGCGTTGAATATGTTATGGGACACATAATTTATCCTCAGAGAGCAGTTCCTCTTATAATGTAGAATGAGTGAAAACAGCTTTGGAAACTGATAACTGTAGCTATGCAATGGTGCAGTTATCAACAACTATATACAACTACTGGCACAACTGTGCTCCACTAAAGGGCAATCCATTGTTCAGCTTTCTTTCTTGGGACAAGAGAGAGCTCGGCCAATGCTTAACATGTAAAAAAGGTAACACAGGTGATTGCCTTTCTCATTGCCAGCAGTGTTAATTTTGTTGACTAACAATTTGAATCAAGTTTTAGTCAACTAAAATTTTTGAGATTTAGTCGACTAAAACTAGAGTAAAACTAAAACAATTCAGATGACTAAAATACGACTAAAACTAAAAATAATTTTTAGTCAAAAGACTATGACTAAAACTAAATAAAAATTTGCTGCCAAAATTAACACTGCACAGAGGGGCAGCGGAAAGGGCAAAAGAGACAGAGGCTTCAACTAAACACATTAGAGTTTAGACGTGTCGACTGGAGATTTAAGTGACTAAAACCAAAACAATAAAGATGACTAAAATATGACTAAAACTAATATGGTTTTTTTAGTAAAAAGACTATGACTAAAACTAAATTGAAATTTAACAACACAATTAACACTGATTGGCAGCTCTGTAAAAATAGATATAGTTCTAAGCCATTCTCCAAGCTAAGGGCAGGCTCACAATGTCAAGTGTATATATTCACGTTTATCAATACTTTCTTTAAAAAAACTATTTATGCAAAAAACAGAATTGAAAAATTTAACTACACTTGAACAGAATGTGTCACTAACAACTATTTTACCTTTTTTTACTTTAAGGATAAAAGTTCACATGATTGCAAAACACAGATTTTTTTTTTATATTTACCTCATCTAAATATACTGCAAAGCCAACATCTAATTCCTTAATTCCATTTATTGACATGTTTCTTTGTAAGCTATTGGGTACATCATGTGCACATTTTAAACAAAGGCATGTAAAGGAGGCAAAAACAAATTAAACAAATTAAAAGATTTGTTGTGGAACAGAAAGTGGCATATTCCTGTGGGATTGACACCACTTACACAAATGCTTAACCTTTTTAGATGCATCCATCTAGAACAGTGTCATGATTAGCCCGTGTGTTGGTTATAGAAAATGTTATGCTCTCGGCTATCTCCAATGCATCACCAAGTCACTATAATTAATTGGCCCTGTCAGTCACAATCTTCATCTCTCTGGAGGGGACTGAGAATTGTCTGCCCCTAATTCCTTTCACCTAAGGCTTTGATCTCTTCACCCAATTAACTAACACCAGGTGCATATCTGAATGTATTTCCGATATTCCTAGTGACGTAGACTTGCCTTTTAACACGAGTAATTCCCAGCTTGCACCTTATTAGGAAACCAGAATCCGAGAGGATGTAAAGGATAAAAGGTAACCGCAGGCTGGAAAAGATCAGAGATGCTTCAGCATAAATAACTGGTCCTTCTGACAAATTGTTATCATCTCGAAGAGGAAATTATGCTTATTTATGTCTAGAAGAAAGAACAAAACCTAGGAAACTCTGCATCTTTTCCCCAGAGTAATTATAATGTGTAACATAGCTTATGGCCTGAATACAAAGTTAAAATGTTTCACTGGCAAAAAAATTAGATCTGCTACTTAATGCTAGATATTCCATCTAGGTGGTTGCCTTCTGTTTTTCTCCTCACTAGCTAATGAACACACACAGCCTGACCAGTGTCATATTAGAGGAATCCTACGTAGCTGAATATCTGGTAGGAATAGCTATAGGGAAAGATAACATGATATGACCTTAGTTGCAGTATCTCAAATTCACAAGCTTATACGGTTACCTTAGCTTTCCATGAGTACAATTAATTTAATAAGGAGTACCATTAATAGCAGTAAGACTCAGGACTAGAATAGCATAGGGGCTATTGGATCTGAAGCTCCACTCCAATGCATTACAATAGGCCTGAGCTGCCTGATGTTTGTAGTGATCTGTTGCACCTGTGATACACTGGGATCCATAATTAAAGCATTTGATCAAGGAGTTACTGATATATTTCCTCTTCTGTCTAAACACTCTCCATAACACCTGATATGTAAAAGGTGGTTTTGAGTCTGTCGGTTTTGAATCTGGGTTTTAATTAACAACTAGAGGTACCTAAATGTGCCTTAGGCCAATAGCACATATCAGGACCATTGCACACAGACAAAAGCATATTCATGTTCTTGGTTAACTATCCTGAATATGTTGAAATTTCACTATAGGTCGTCACATAAAGAAAAAAAAGAAAAAATATATATTTTTAATATTATCTTGGTATAGTTCATATATTATACTAAACATACTCCCAATTAAAACATACATGCATTTAATTATGCATTTCTTTACTGGAAAAAAGCTACAGATCTCGTCTGCAGCTGTTGCAAGCCCTCCCATTTTTTGCTCAGTCCAGACTTTCTGTGGCTGTCCTATCACAGACTTTCCAATGCAACTCACTGAAAAAAGACTTTGCCAAACAGTTGCTCTGCACAATTGTCTGCCTTTTGTGTTCAGCTGAACAACCAGAAAGTAACAGGACCGGTTGTCCAATTAAAAGCCAGAGGGTTGGGGTGTAAAAAGTTTTATAAAAGTGCCAATTTCTATTAAAATGTGCACTTTTATAAAAAATAAGAAGATACACTGTACACAAATAAAGCACTTTAGCAAGCGAATGTGCTGTTGTTTGGAGTGTCCCTTTAATAAAAATCATCAGAATTATTATAAGCTTTAGTAAAATTCATTTCATACACAGAAATTAGATTAGTAAGTAAATTTTATATGTTTCAGGGTCTAAATTGCTGTTATACTGTTGTTTATTTTTGATTCTCTAACAGCTAAATTACTTGTGTTACCCAAAGCACACAAAGTGCCCTATTTTTAGGTGGGATTCTCTATTATACTTGACAATATTTTGCTAAAGACAAAGAGATTATAGTGAGTCTATGCTGTAAAAAGGCTTCAATATAATAATACAAAGTATATTTAAACATAGTTCTAAAAACTGAGAAATTATCAGGAAGACTTTTTAAGTTTCCATAGTGACTAGTCTGCTTTTGAACATTTGATCCAGAATTACTCTTCAAGCTTAACTTACAATCTACTGGTCAATGCTTATGGAAAGCAAGGTAGCCATGACAAATTGGGAGAGTTTAATATTTGTCGGAGTTATTTCCTGGAAAATCAATTGTTTAATATTGATGTTATATATTGACAAAGCTAACACATCAGTAAACAAAGTGCTAGTGCTTAAAA